GTAGTAGTAGTAGTAGTAGTAGTAGTAGTACTATTATTATTAGTAGTAGTGGTAGTGGTAGTGGTAGTGGTAGTGGTAGTGGTAGTGGTAGTGGTAGTGGTAGTGGTAGTGGTAGTGGTAGTGGTGGGAGTAGTGATAGTAGTAGTAGTAGTAGTAGTAGTAGTAGCAGTAGTAGTAGTAGCGGCAGGAGTAGTAGCGGCAGGAGTAGTAGCGGCAGGAGTAGTTTTGTCACCCACTTGGCACGTCGACGACAGCACTGCAGGGTCGTGACAACTGACGAGGTATTGGGCAAGTCGAGGCTCTGCAACAGCTCCGCCAAAACAAGCAAGCACAAGTGCCAAAACACCGAAACATCAATCCCCGCAAAGCCTCCACCCGCCTCTGCTTTCAGAGACCAAAAATGTCCAGGAAGAGTTTGGCTTCCATCAAATCTCAAGCACTCCTAATAATTAGAGAGGCGCGAACATGAGCGAACATCAAGGCATTTCAGCCAAACATTCACCCCAGTTTCACCACCAGCTGCTTCGAATCCCTAGGCAGTCAAAGCCGAACAGTAGCATACCTAAAAAGACGGGTGCAAATCGTCATTTCACAGCAGCTGGCGCTATCATTTTGGTAGTGGTCGTAGTAGTAGTAGTAGTAGTCGTAGTAGTAGTAGTAGTAGTAGCAGCAGCAGCAGCAGTAGTGGAAGTAATTGTAGTAGTAGTCGTCGTCGTTGTAGTAGTCGTAGTAGTAAGAGTAGGAGTAGAAGCACGAGTAGGAGCAACCGTAGTTGTAGCAATAGCAGCATAGTCGTCGTCGTGGTAGTGGTGGACATAGCAACTGTCAGCTACAGGCATGGACTGCGCAGAGTCTGTACCACAGCAATACCACAAATGCTCGGGATCTGCCTTCTCGGTTTCTTCCTCGCCGGCAGGTGCCGAAGCGGATGGAGGAGATACCTGCGATTTCATGCAATCCCTGAGGGAAAAAACTTTGGCTTGTTTGAATTTCTCGTGCATGCGTCGCATTGCTGCAGGCATGTCGACACCGTCCGAGCTGCCTGAACCCGTATGACTTACGGGTGGTGCATGTGGTTCATGGAAGTTGCACGCTCGTGGCCCTATCCACTTCTGATACTTCGAAGACGTGCTTTCCTGTATCGATACTGTCTACACAGTT